CCTATCCTTCTAGGTATACTTTCAATCAACTTCTGACAATCCTCTGCTGTAATTTTTCCCCACTCCACTGTAACTCTCTCCCATAACTCCCATACTCCTTTAGGAGGGTGTTCATAGGCTAAAAGCTTCTTCTTGAGTACTCCTCAGAGATGTTCAATGACATTGACATCAGGGGATTGTGCTGGCCAGTCAAGGAGGTGAATATTGTGCTCTTCAAACCATTCTCTGGCTCTTCTGCATGTATGCTTGGGATCATTATCCTGTTGAAAAATAATATCTTCTTCATCAATTCCTGATTCTGCCATGCTATGCAGCAAGTGGTGGTTGAGGATGTCCACATACTGCTCAGCATCCATCCTCCCCTCAACTTCTGCAGGCATTCCCACACTATTCCACCCCATACATCCCCATACCATTAGAGAACCTCCTCCAAACTTGAGAGTTCCATTAATCTCTCTGTCTGTAAGAGGGCCCCCCTTCTTTTTCCACACATATACCTTCCCATCTGACCCAATTCTATTGATTTTAGTCTCATCAGACCATATGACCCGCTTCCAGTCCTCTAAAGTCCAGTTTAGATGGGCTAGGGCAAAGGTTAGTCTTCTCTTCCTATGAGTGATGGAAAGAAGAGGCTTTTTCTTCTTTGTTACAGCCCTAAGATTGGCTTCCTTGAGGACATTCCTCACTGTTTGTGAAGAAACTGGAGTAGGGATGATGAAATTGATATGATGAGTGACTTGGACAGCATTATCAGCCTTTCCTGTGGTGATATGTTGGATAATGACCCTCCTATCAGTAGAGGTGGGTTTGGATGGACAACCTCCACTGGAGTTTTCCTTGTCTGGGTGACATTCTTTGATGAGCTTAGCTACAGTAGACTTGCATACACCAGTTCTAGAGGCTATTTGATGAGTAGAGAGGCCAGTAGTAGACAGAGAAAGGATATTATCCCTTTGAGGAGAGGAGATGGTTTTCATGGTGATTATGACTATGATATATGGGACACACTTCATTATATACTTAGCAATAGGTTTAATAATGTCATAATGACACCACTTCATAATTTATTTAATAGTGGCATGACTTTATGGTGTCATAACTAATGATTTATATAATTTTAATCTAGGGTCAAAAAACTGTCCACATGAGTCATCATTTTGTAAGGCCTATAGCGCCACCACATTACCATGGATTCCCATGGGAAAGGGCTCAAATTCATGCCCCAAGGGAGTACTACAGAGTACTCCACTGGCATAACCTTGGTCCACCTGTCCATTCATATACAATAATGTAAATAGTGAAAATAGCACAAACATGTGGACAGTTTTTTGAGCCACTGTATAAGATTTCTCATGCAACTGTGGTCAGAGCGATGTACTCTGCTTCCACGGTTGACAGTGTAATTAGTGGCTGTTTGTAGGCACTCCAGGTAATGGGCCCGCCATTCAACAGCACCACATACCCAGACATTGAGTGTTGGTGGGGCTGGGATGCCCAATCCACATTCACATACACTTTGAGTCCTCCATCCATTCCACCTAGAGTGAGCTCTAAGTTGGCTGTTCCTTTAAGGTAATGCATGACCCATTTGCTAGCCCAGTGAACTCAGCCTGAGTTTTGCATAAATTGTGAGAGGGTTGCAACAGCAAAGGCTATGTTAGGGTGCATGTTCGTTGCCACATACATTAAGGATCTGATGTTTTGTTGGTATGGGATGTCACATATAGCTTCATGCTTGGCGAGAGTTGACGGGGATTTGTCTGTGGATAGGGTAGTTCCAGTCTACATGAGCATCTGCATGGTCTTTGCATCAGTTAGGTTGAAATGTTTGAGAATCATATGAATATAGGTGAAAATATGATGGTCTGTGTGATGTGATCATGGGTATCTTTTAGACCTAAAAGCCAGTTCAGCTCCTCCAGATCAGTAATCTCAAAGTGCTCACACAGGTTGTCATTGAAACAAGTGATGTCACCTAGATGCTTAGAGGTGACTGCTATATCATTGATGGATACTGTCATGACCATGTGCTCTTCAGGCAAGCATTTGTAGAAAACCACCTAGTTGACTTACAAATGCATAAAACCAATCTTTGTGAAGACTCCTGCTAATTCCTCTACCCACTTGAATCCTACCTGCTTCAGCCCTGGTAGACTCCTCCTCAGCCTCAAGATCTTTCCCTCGTCACCTGCCTTAAGGTACCCAGGTGGCACATGCATATATATCTCCTCCTTGATGTCTCATAAAAGTAGGTACTCTTGATATTGACTTGATGAATCTCCCAGTTGTATTTGGTTGTCATTCCTAGGTGCTTGGCGGCTAGGACAAAATGGCAGGGAATCACATTTACACGTGATGATGCATTTACAATTTCCCATGTGCCTAGCTTCTCCAATTTGCTAATTTCATAATCAATTACCTCTTGCCACTCAACTCTATCTGGCCCATTTAATGCTTGCTGCAATGTGGGCTTAGGTTCAGCAGCTGCCAATGCCATATGGTGAGTGAGTTCAACATCATCAGCCAAGTCTGATGCCGCAGGATCAAAAGATATCTCTGCCACTAGAGTTGCTGCCTGTCCCTTATTAAGGGCTGTATAGTAGCCAGGCAGTAGACACATTCTTGTTGGTGTAGTGGGGAGCACAGTGCAGGGCTAGGAGCACAATACAGAGGATAGCACAAAGCATAGTACAGGGGTCAGAGCAAGGTAGGCATAGAGATTAGGAACATAGTGCAAGGACAGGCATGAGGCAGGTGCCAGGGGTCTCAGAGATTGGGGGTCTTGGAGTATATACCAACATGAACATGTAGAGACAGACAGACAACGGCAGGTTCCCCTTTAGAGAGCTAGGCTGGTGGGTCCATATGGTGATGAGAGCAGGGAGAGTACCCACTTGATTAAGCATGAACAGATTTTAGGTCACATTTCAGTCAATGAATGCACACAGATATGACATATTCAGCAGCAGGACACACTACCAGGTTACACTAATATTTCTCCTACTTCCTCTCCTTCAAACCCACTGGAAGGTGAACCGTCTACACCTCGGTGACACAACTTTTCATTACCAGTATCTTGACATGCTAAATGCAAACCATCAGAAGAATTCAACAACACATTTTGCCTTTACCCAGCATGCTTCACACCAGACAAAACATTTTGTCACCCTATTCCACAGAGTCTTCATTATTATCTATCACACCCACCAAACCAGTAGTCAAATCCACAGGCAAACCACTAGCAATATTTCTTCATCAGCTGCCTGCTCTACTGTTATCAACAGCCAAAACACAACCAACCACAAAGACAACAGCCATGACTAATGCTGTGAAACCAGTCCTATTCTTCTAGGGTGATTATGGAGAGAAATAAAACCCAGCAGTATGGCTTGCTCAATTCAAATTGTCTCTTCCCATCAGCTGGATGGACACACAATCCATCCAACAGTTCAGCATGCAATTGACGCCAGGAGAAGCAGCAGAAGAATGGCACCAGGGATTAATGCCATTGCAGCACGGTGTTACAATGGCACTATATTTTCTTTTCTCTTTCTTTCTTTACTTACTCATCGAGTCTCATGACTACTTATCAACACGTCCAACACGTGAACACTTACCTATATGCTTACTCATACTATTCCCTGATTGGTTGATCCAACATTGTACCATTTCTCATCTCCTTTTCTGATTGGCTGATATCATCTTCCTATTCTCACTTACCTTTCTTGATAGGGTCATCCACCTACAGACTGGCCCTAAACTACCTTCTTGTTACATATATATATATCACGCTTCCTGTATTTGTATTCCTTAACTTGAATCTACTAGGTTCTCTCCTGATACTTCGAGTTCACCAATCTAGCTGCCTTCCAGCAGACTAGCCTGAATACTTGATCTAGCAAGCCCTTGACACTTGACTAGCCAGAACCTTTGATCCTAGGACTTGCAATACGCTTCAGCCTTGATCATCCTTTATTGGAACACTGAAGAAGAACTATCCTAGTCGTAACACAGGGCACCTTCTCTAACCTCAAAACCAAAATTTTCAAATTTTGACCATCTCCCAAGTGCCCCAAGCTCACAGGCGCAACAGAGAGAGCATATCATGGCACAGGTCTTAAAGGAAGAGGAAGTTGGCCAATGGACACAAGAAGGACAAACAGGCAACTATACACATGTAACCTGGGCAGTTAATGTTTCATGGCTGGTGCTAGGAATGAGTGACATGGAGGGTGCTATGATTGAGTATGTGCTAGAGGGTATTCCAAACCTACTGAAAGACCATCTCAAGTACACATACAAAACCTGGGACAAATTTGTTGAGGATATACAGGACATCCCAAACATGAAGCTCAAATGTGGATGGGAAGATCTTGATAAGGAATGGGCTTGAGGTGCTGAGATCACCAAGCTTAAGGCACAAAGCACACCATCCCCTTCACTTCTGTCACAACAATTCTCACAGATGGTGATGAGGATGCAACAAGTACCCTCTCCAGCCTATTGTTCCCTAATGCACCCAACACACTACCATCTACACCCTCAACAACAATGCTACCATCAATCACCAATCCCAATCTACTCACAACATCACACAGTGGAGCTCCCGTGTATAACAGTAGCAGAGGAGCATTTACTCCATGTGTGCAGTTGATGTTGGATATTTTGACATAATCTGCAAGTCTCACTATTAATATTCATTTGTTTATCATTACACTCACCTACTGTGCACACGTACAATAGCACACTTACTGTTTACATCATCATTAACATAGACAGGTATATAGTCCTCACATCTGTGTCGTTCCACCTTAGTCAATTCCTATCAGACTGAGGTGAGATCCCTGCGTTCATTATTGTACTTAACACTCACTAACACTTACCATAGCTGTTCATTTGTCTTCGCAGGTACTTATGATAATATCAGAGTCAATTCCTATCAGACTGAGCCATTCATTTGTCTTTGCAGTCCTTCCATCCATTGCTACTCACATCAGGTTATGAGCCCCATCACTTCTTCCATATCAGCCTTGGGCATCTATGCCATTCCGAAACTCACCAAGAAGAACTGGGTCAAATTCAAGACAAAGACTGTCATGTTGTTAACAGCGCGCAGCTTGAACTGTCACCTTGACAGCACCATCAAAATTCCCCAGCCACTTCCTTTTTTGAGTGATGGTAAAAAGATCATGCTTCACAACAAGACAATGGAGGCAACCAAAGCTGACATTGAGTTGAACCTGACCCTCCTTGATGCGCATGCACAGAAGGAAGCCCTCGCTACTCAGCAGCTCTATGCAACTGTTCTGAACACCATGATGATTCAGGTGCAGAACAAAGGCTCCATTGCAGCAATTTGGAAGGCCATTTGCCTCATCTACAAAGGCAAAAGTGACATGGTCCAGGTAGATACTCATGCTCGCCTGCAAAGTATGAAGTGCAGCAAGAATGAAGATGTCAAAGCACACTTAATGTCGATGCTGGTATTAAGTGAAGAGCTTGTGGGCATGGGCGCACCTGTCGACAACCGAGATTTCACTGCGATGATCATTAATTCACTTCCCAAGTCTTTCCGAACTCTTATACAATCCACGACAGCCACCATTTGTGCTATTAACCAACCTGTCACCTCGGACAAGGTCATTGCTGTTGCCTTTGAAGAAGCTGATCATTGTAACATCGGAAAGTTGTCAGACAAGGATGACTCCGCATTGAATGCCTTGTCATACAAGGGTCGCCAATGTGGAAAGAAGCCGAATGGAAAATTGGACATGAAGTGTTATAACTGCGGACAGATTGGGCATATGTCAGCTGACTGCTGGCATAAGGGTGGTGGCAAAGAAGGTCAAGGTCCTAACCAGAAAAAGTCGGAATTAGCAAATGCAGCTGCATCATCTGACCAAGACTACGCATTTTTGACCTCTGCCTGTGTTGATGAAGTTAATGTACTTCAAGTTCCCACCGAAAGATAAGGAGCCATTGTCAATTCTGGAGCCACTTCCCATTTTTGTCCCGACTGTGTGAAGTTCAAAACTTTTACCACCATTGATCCCAAACCAATCAATGTTGCCGACGGACAAACTCTTCATGCTGTTGGATGAGGTGATGTTGAGATAGAGCTACCCAATGGCAAGGCACGCTCCCAAGTTAACTTAAAAGATGTGTTGTACACGCCAGACATAGCCTTTACCCTTGTATCCACCAGCCGAATTGTTTGTGCCAGATTATCTATCCATATGGAGCAGGGATGGTGTGAAATCTGGTCACAGAAGCCGAAGAAGCTCATTGTGAGGATTCCCGAGGTTGATGGTCTTTATTAGATTGCAGGATTAGAGCACACAGCTGCAGTAGCCTCCACAAAACCGAAGACGAAGATGTCACTGACCCAACTCCATCAGTGCATGGGACATATGTCTTTTGCTGCTATGAAAGCCATGGTGACAAAGGGCATGGTTGAAGGTATTGAGATTACCTCATCTCCTGATAACACATTCTGTGAAACGTGTGTCAAAGCCAAAATCACACGCCAGCCTTTCCCTGACCAGTTGAACTCATGTGCTACAAAGTATGGTGAACGTATTCACACTGACGTGTGGAGACCAGCAAAAGTTCAATCATTGGGCAAGAAGTCCTATTATGTCACGTTCACGGATGATTATTCCCATGAGACAACTGTCATTTTCCTTCAGAAAAAGAGTGGAGTTTTTGGAGCACTCACCGAGCACTTTGCTCACCTTGTAACCCAGCACAATGCCAAGGTCAAGTTCATCCGATTTGATTGGGGTGGTGAATATTCCAGCGACGAACTCAAGAAGTACCTATCGAAACGCGGAATCCATCACAAATACACTGTCCACAACTCTCCTGAACAGAATGGTGTTGCCGAACGAGTTAATCAAACCATTGTCAAACATGCTCGAGCTCTTCTCATTGGTGCAGATCTTCCCAAGGCTCTATGGGCTGAGGCTGTAAATCACGCTACCTATCTCAAGAACAGATCACCCACATGAGCTCACACCACAAAAACACCATTTGAAGCTGTTCATGGCGAGAAGCCTAACTTATCGGGGATTTGGAGATTCAGATGTACCATCTATGTCAAGATTGTAGATGCTGGCAAGCTTGATGAACGTGCAAAGGCTGGAAAGTTTGTAGGGTACAACAGCAAAAGCAAAGGGTATTGAGTTTATTGGCCTGACACTCATCGAGTCTCTGTTGAACAAGAGGTGAAATTTGCTCCTGATGAAGCTACTACAGGTGACATGCAGTTTGAAGGGGAGAATGAGAGGATCGTCCAGCATGACACCTGCTCAAAATCCATTAGTGAGGCACCAAAACCATCATTGACATCAGCTCCAATTCCCATCATGACCAGCCAATCAATTCCACCAGTAGTCACAAACCCACCAGTGTCAGTTCCACCTGCAACAGTACCACTAGCATCTTCCCCTGGTGATGAACCAACCATTAGCAAAGCACTATGTGGCCTCAACGCTGAAAAGTGGCAGAAAGCAATGGATGATGAGATTGTCACAATCAAGAAGCTTGACACCTGGGATCTCATTGACCCACCTGCCAATGCGAACATAATCAACTCCCATTTCATCCTCAAAGCCAAGCGAGATGAAAACGGCAACATCACACGGTACAAGGCATGCCTCATCGCCAACGGCAACAGTCAGTGTGAAGGTATTGACTATAATGAAACCTTTACTGCCGTCATGAAACTTCCTTCTGTCAGAGCCATTCTCGCCAATGCCACTAGCCAAGGATGGGAGATCCACCAGATCGATGTGAAAAATGTGTACCTCAATGCTGAACTGACTGAGAATGTCTATATGAGACCTCCACCTGGATATCTCAAGCCTGGTCAAGAAGGCAAGGTCTGCAAACTCAAGAAAAGTCTTTATGGACTCAAGCAGGCCGGTTTCAAATGGTATGAGACACTATGCAAATTTTTCCGCAAGATCAGGTTCATGTGATCAGCTGTTGACCATGCGGTATTCTTCAAGCATGACAAGAAGTCATCCACTGTTGTCTCCGTGTCTACTGATGACATGGCTGCCACAGCAAGCTCTATTGAGGCAATAAAGTGGTTGAAAGACAAGCTTAGAAAGAGGTTTGAGATTTCCGATCTTGGAGAAATCAAATGGTTGCTTGGATTTGAAGTCAAGTATGACAAAACAGCGTGAACCTTATCATTATCTTAACGCGCTTACATCGACACTCTCATCAAACATTTTGGACTTCAACAAGCCAACACTGTATCCATGCCTCTCGAACCTGGTGTTGTTCTGTCGATTGATCAGTCACCGACAACTGCACAGCATGCCAATGAAATGCAAAATGTTCCTTACCAAGAACTCATTGGATCGTTAGCGTGGGCTGCACTCGGCTCTTGCCCTGACATTGTATTCGTGACCTTGATTCTCACACAGTTCACTCAAAACCCTGGTAGAATCCATTGGCAAGCTGCAAAATGTGTCTGTCATATACCAGATCCGACCGCTCCGATACTGATATCCGCTCCGCTTTCTGACCCCCTTTGCTCCGTCCTATCACAACCCCGCATTCCACCCTACACTTCCGCTCGACCACTCAACTGGTCCCCTTCCATAAACCTCTCCATTCAACTGGATCCCTTTCCCCTTTTAGACATATACTTTCCCCTTCAGTACATAGACTCTTACTTCTGGATCACCAGTAATTCCTATTACCGCCCGATTGCTGATCCGACACGTACATATTGATATCCGCTCCGACTTATGTCTTTGCCTATGTAAAGTACTTACAAACTATATCCTTGGTACATAGCTTTACTACATAGTTATCCTGATCACTGCCTCACATAGAAGTATATAACATATCCTGTACTTAGATATTTTTCCTTAGTCTTAATATTACTTGTCTTCTTGCAGTTACATCTTGTGAGAATTCTCAGTAGGACCTTGCCCCCTCTAGACACAAGTTTCAACTTGTCGTCACCTCCGACCCTCCGATCCCCCACTCCGACTTAGAGCCGTGCTCTAAGTCTTTTCCGTATACTCCACCCCTATCCAATATTCTCCCTTGTCCCTCTGCATCATCCTCCGCCTTCTCTGCCTCTGCCAAACATTCCCCCTGCTCCTATCCACCCTCCGCATCAACCCCCGTCTTCTCCACTCTGCTCCTAGTCGGCCTGCTGCTAGCAGCTCTTACCCCCCCGACCCTCAAAGCAGACCAAAGCGGACCATTTGTCCTACCATTGGACAACGTCGGACCCACTCCAAATTTGGGGCACGTACTTGGCTAAGGGCGCAGCGCAAAAGCTGAAGCCAAGCCCCAACCCCTCTGCCTCTTGAGCCGGCACGGTACCTAACAGTGTCCTGCACTATCTCAAATGCACTCAAGACCTTCATCTCAACCTCACAGATCCCAATGAGGGCATGCTAGCTTACACTGATGCTGATTGGGGCTTGCAGCCTCACTGTCATTCGATTTTGAGGCACATCATATCACTCGCAGGAATGCTGGTAGCTTGGGGATTGAGGAAGCAGAACATTGTCATGTTGTCATCAACAGAAGCTGAGTATGTTGCTGCGATGAACTTGCTGAAAGATGTCGTTTGGTTTCCGAGCCTCATCAGCAAAATTTGTGCGCTCATTGTTGGTCCCACTCTCATCCTATGCGATAACCAAGGCACTATCACTCTCACCCAAAACAACAAATTTCACCTGCACACAAAACACATCGATATTTGGTACCATTTCATTCAAAAAGCCATTGACAATGGAAAGGTCATACTCATATACTGTCCAACAAGTGCCAACGTCACAGACATTTTCACGAAGGCACTTGCTTGTTTGAAGGTCCAGAAGTTTGTTGATATGCTGAGACTATGCTAGACTTGAAGGGGAGTGTTGGATATTTCAACATAATCTGCAAGTCTCACTATTAATATTCATTCATTTATATTTATGCTCACCTACTGCACACACGTACAATAGCATGCTTATGGTTTACATCATCACTAACATGGACAGGTATATAGTCCTCGCATCTGCGTTGTTCCATCTCAGTTGATTCCTATCAGACTGAGGTGAGATCCCTGCATTTGTTATCATACTTAACACTCACTAACACTTACCATAGCCGTTCGGTTGTCTTTGCAGTCCTTCCATCCATCGCTACTTGCATCAGTTGATGCAAGCTCAAATCCTAGAGAGAGTAGCACTCATACCACAGAGACCCAATACAGAGACAGGAACATGTCAGTATGAAGCAGATATCGACCTGTGGCACTGCATGTATGGCACAGAAGGGATTCCCTCCTTAGATCATCCTTACCCCCTACAACCTGGGACTGCAAATCTGGGTTCTGGAGAATGTTATAACTGTGGGCTAGTTACGAACCCAACTCATCTCAGCTCCCAATGCACAGCAACCAGCCTACTACCCACTACACTTGCATGAAACTAGGAGGTGTCAGCAGGTCACAGGATTCCTACAACAAGCAGTGCTGCAGCAAGCAGTATGATCCCCATACCCCACTCCAGTCCAATATGTCATGCCAACAAACTATCCCTACCATCAATCATATGGAAATCCTCAACCAACTCCAGTATACAACATTACCCCATAGGAGGATTACAGTTGGGGAGATCAGAATGAATCATGGGGGACTCTTGAGGCAGGATACGAGTGGACTCCGGAAAATTATGGGGGACCACTGCAAACACTAGACCAGTAGTAGTCCCACAAGTATTGAGTCCACTCACTGACCCATCATCTGCATTACTATCAATCCCTTCTCCTTTTCATACATCTCAAACAGTGCCACAGGCACCTAGTATTGTACATAATATGGACATTTCTCCTACACTCATTGAATCTTCCCCCTCTACCTCACAAGCTGACATGTTGTCAGCCAGCACCCTTAACACTACAGATTATCTTCTCTCTTCAACTATAGACATAGTGGAATAATCAGAAAAATTACTGTCAAATACAGGCTCGGTTGTACCTTCCTCTGTATCTAGCAATCCCATCACTGACATTTATTTAGTGGACGCATCAGGCAAATCAATCCAAACACAAACCAGCAATCCCTTTGTAACAGTACCTCACTTGCATGGACCTCAAGGAGAAAAAATACGGATCCTAGCCATTGTGAACAATGGAGCCATGATTAACATCATCAATACAGCAGTGTATCAACAAGTTGCACAAAGATTATCCCCATTAAGTACATCATCCAGAACCCTTTGCATGGCTGATGGCTTGTTAGTATCATCAACAGGTGTATGGTTGGGAATGATCTCTTGGGGACCAATCAACATACTCATGTTGTTTGAAGTCTTCCCCAGTGGAGGCTCATGGTGCATGCTAGTTGGAAAACCACTTTTGGAACAGGTCCATGCAATCCATGACTATAGCAGTGACACTATATTGCTACCATATGGAACCACATTTCATCGTATCTCAAATTTCACTATATATCGTCCCTTACCACTTCCCTATTTACCATATGCTGTTTGATTCCCAGCCACCACTAATTTCAAACACTCCTTACCACCTTCATTACCTACCATTTCAATGAATAACAACAGTACCAATAATTTCCCACACATACAAATCATACCGCCACCCCAAGATGCACATAATATTTCAATTCCTACTAATACTTTACTTAATCAGTCACCCTTAGTCAATCATGATGTGAATGCACTAACCATCACACCCACTCAGTCATTTCAGCCAGATTCACCAGTAGAAGAAGAACCATATCCAATCCTTGAAGTTGAAGATGCAGAACAACTGACACTTATCAGTGAAGTACTAGACCTCTCCCCTATGATGCTACCCAATGATATATTCACCAGACTAACAAAACATGGACCCTTCTGGCCTGCATGGGTGGATGTGATCATAAATGCAGTTTGTTATGGAGACCATCTCACTAGAGAACAATAGGACCAAGTGTGAGCACTTATGGCCAAATTCACATATGTTTTGCACTATTGGTATGAGAAGTGAAACATGTAGACTTCATTAACTTTCAGCTGCAGATCCCACCAGATGCAACATTCACCAAGAAGGTGCATCAATGGCTGCTGACTAAACCACAATGTGAATATCTATTTCCAGTGTTGGACAACATGCAAGAGGCAGGGATCACTTGGTTCATCAAGTCAGATAAAGTCAAAGTGGTTGCATCAACAGTCCTCATACAGAAGACACACTCAGGTACAAGCCTCTCAATGGAGGACATACAACAGATTGTTGAGAAACAATGTGTCACGCTGTGGGTGAGGAAAATAGACTCTGGGGTGATTCAGAAGTCTAATAAGGGTGCGAGAGTAATACTTGTCCCGAGGGGATTGCTACTGGGTATTGGGTCCTCAAATAAGTGCGAGGAAAGCAAAGACTAGACTCTGTCTAGCGACCCGAAGGGTTCTGGTCCTTACTAGGACTGGGAACACAAAGATGCAGAGGGTTCCCAACGAGCGGAACTAATGGAACTAACTCGGAACAAACAGAACAAACAGGGAACAAATGGAACTAACGGGGAACAAATGGAGGGAAAAGAAACTATGAGCCTGCAGGAGGATGATTGGGCAAAGTCGGACCAGGCTTGTGTCTAGTACTTGCTCCAAGTCGTCAGATCTGATGTCAGGCATTTCGAGCAGAACTCACGGGGCCGGGAACGTTGCAATGAGATCAGGAATAGATTTGGGAAGATATTTTAGACAGTGAGTGGAGTACTGGGAAGTACTCTATAAGTGGAAGTGGAGTCAAGCCTATCAGAAGGTAAAAAACTAAGATCCCATCTATTGCTACCTATATGGGAAGGGGTTCCGAGATGCGCTATGCTACAACCGGGTGAGGCTGTGAGATAAGGAACCGGTCCCGAGTAGTGGAAGGATCCGTATAAGTACCATAACACATATGAAATCATATAGGAACATGTTAGTAACACTGTCATATCCCATACCTCCAGATCCGGAATTCCGGATCTACTTCATTAAAGTCTGGTCCTCCGTCTTACAATTCCGCCTGGCACTCCGCCTTCATCTCTGCACTCACCCCTAACTCCCTTTAGATTAGCTATTGCTCCAGTTACCGGTTATGTCCTATTCCGCTATGCTTACTGATCCGTCCATTCTTACTTCATTTCCGACTTCACTGCTTTGATCTGTTATACTTAGTAATAGACTTTCCACATGCTTCATACATAGCCCTCACCTTTGCTGACTAATTTGCTTACATGATACCTACAGTATATAAACCCCTGTAAAACTCCGGAACTCCTCAGTTCAAATATCATCTTAGTTCTGCTTATTCCTGCAATCTCTGGACTTGAGTCTCATCTCTTGTCTACCTCCGAGTCTTAGGGGTTAAACCTTAGGACTACTTCTCCAGCTCTACCTTAGGGTAGTCTAACCTCTGTTCTGTTTCTACTCCAGACTTCCATAGTAGCCTTACTCCGTCCCCACATAGTCTTCCGGAGTTCCGCCCAACTCCCTCAACTTCTGTCCTTTGGAATTGACTGGACTTCCATCGGACTTCCCCTCTGTCCCCCAGAAATTTAAGGGCACGTACTCAGGTAAGGGGCGCAGTGCACGAGCTGAAGCCAAAGCCCTTTGAGTAACCTCTCCCTTGAGCACGACCTTAACAAACACAGGGAATGTAGCTAGTACTCACCAGCGAGGATGGAAGAACAAGGACAGGACGGGGGAGGACATTCTGAAGGCTAAAAGGATATGATGCGTGTGGTACGCGATTGTTCTGCTGGGTTCCGCTTGGTTCCGTGTAGCGGATGGTTCGGGGAAGATGCGGATGGGTAGTGGGATGGTAGCAGAATGCACAGGAAGATGGTAGTAAGGCATGGGAATTATACGGGATACAGGCCTACAGTGGGGACATTCCCCACAACGCTTGGTGAGCCATTGGACCCAGACATTGACCTAGACTCAACACCAATGGCAGCACTAGAACCTGTCAACCCATCAAAAGTCAAGTGGCATATTTGTCAGAATTTCAACAATGTCAACAAAGTATTGGAGGTCACACCAGAACCTAAAGGGGACATCACAGCAAAGCAATAGCACTTAGCAGGACATGAGTACATATGCATACTTGACTTCACAGCTGGATTCTACACAATTCCCATGGAAGAGGAGAGTCAGCCCTACCCATGCTTCTACACAGAAGGCCAAGGATACAACATGTATTGCTGCATGCCAATGGGCATCCAAGGTGTGCCATCATGCTTCAGTGACCTCACAGTGCAGGCGCTATATGACATCCTTATCAAACTACTGATGGAACTATATGTCAATGATGGCACAATAGTGGGAAACAATTTCATCGAGTTGTTAAACTGCTTACACATGTTCTTCATCAGGTGTCAAGAGCAGAACCTATCAATATCACCAATGAAGACACAGCTATTCATGAGTGATGTTGTCTTTGGAGGAGCATGAGTGGGACATGAGGGCATACATCCAGATCTAGTGAAGATGGCTGTAGTTGCTGAGTGGCCCATCCCTCAAAACCTCTTAGAACTGATGCGCTTTTTAGGCCTTACAGGTTATATCAGATCTCTCATCAAGGACTATGCTCACATTGCAACCCCACTTACCAACATGCTGCACAACCTAGACAGGCCACCACCCAATGCAAAAGGAGGAAAGCATAAGTATAGACAATTCCTACAAGATTGCAACTTTGCAACCTTCTGGGAACATTGTCACACACAGGCCTTTCTAAAGCTTAAACAGATTCTTGTAGCTGAACCAGTGCTCTGAGCACCCAAGTTTGATGGATCACCATTCATTGTCATTAGTGATGGGTGCAAAGATGGGTTTGGGGCCATCATCTCACAACAGTTCTCTATGCAACACCCATCAGATGAAACAACAACCAAGGTGCACCCAATTGCATTTGCATCCAAATGAACCTCACCAGCAGAGGAACATTACAAACCATACTCATTGGAGTTTGCCGCTCTAAAATACACATTTGACCAGTTCAGTGTGACCATCTTGGGTTTTCCAGTTGAGATTGAAACAGATTGCATTGCACTGTGAGATACCCTGCTGAATGACAAATCATCAGTAGTGCATGGTTGTTGGCAAGACAGCATCATCACATACCAAATCACAGATGTTCAACACCATTCAGGGGCAAGCAACACAGCCACAGATGCACTTAGTTATTGAATGTCAGGGTACCCACATGTTGATGGAGACAGCAGTGCATGGTCTGTGAGCGAGGACTGGGAGACTGTACACAGCCTGGTGAATGACTTGTTCCTCATTCAATCAACTAACCCTACCTATGAACCACTAGCAGCAGAATTATGCAGCCTCTTTAAGGAAGAACCACTCTTCCTTGAAGTCATTGAGGTGCTGTTCAACCTTAATGGCAACAAAGACCAATCCATTGTGAAGGTGCTGCTCAATTGTCCACAATGCAAGAACTTCAGCTCAACACAGTTACACACCCTGATGTACCCAATCACACGACACCATCTGTTTGAGTTACTAGTTGCAGACTACCTGTCGCTTCCCAAGGGCAAAGGCAGATATCATAATGTTCTACTCATCCTCAATACATACTCCCAATAAGCATGGGGTTTTAAACTGAAAGTTCATGGCACCACAAAAACCACAACAACAGGGCTAGATGTGGTTGCTCACACCTTCCATGCACCAGAAATGTTCATGATGGACAGTGGATCACACTTCAATAACAGAGACGTACAGGTATGGTGCTTGGCACACAATACAACACATCATGTTGTAGCAGCTTATTCCCTGTGGATCAATGGACTGGTTGAAAACACCAATGGGAAGTTACTGGGCCACTTGAAGCAGTTTTGTAGCCCAGGGTTAGGAGAAGATGAATATGAAGGTGTAAAGGTGGAAGATCTCACTAGAGCATGGCTGGATCATTTTGACACCACAATCTGTCAACTGGATGAATGACTTGTGCCAGCATTCAAGTTCTCACCGAAAGAACTTCTCCTTGGACTGGTGGTTAATACCATTCCCACTGTGATTTCAGATGTGAGCACAGCTCCAATCACATCAGACATCAATGTCCATATGACATATGTAGACCAGCAACAGCTGAATGATGTGGACCACACTGCAGTGCACACAACAAGGTGGAAAGCTACTTTTGACAAGAAAGTATGGCATTCACATGTAGGCGAGGTTGTATTTGAACAAGGACAATTAGTCCAGGTTTATGCAAGCACTATGGATATGACAATGGTAAGTTCAAGGAAACTTGCACCAAGATGATGTCACATGTTCCTGAAACAAACCATTTTTCCTATCTCAATGTGGTGTCTAAGTCTACATGCCTGAGTCATGTGACCCCTTCACCTCTTTACACCTGTCACATATATCACCCTTCATTCTGTCAACCAGTCACAGAATCGCCAGCACCCTATGCCCACATCTCTCCCTTCACATCGCCAATTACATCTCCGATCAAGTCATCGATTGATCTCACCCTCATTGGATCTTGGATCTCCATCTAAGATAGATCTTCTATTTAAATTCTGTCTCTCTTCTTCCATTCTTCAATTCAGATCTTCCACCGCTGTCTATATGTTCCTTCTTCTATCACAAGACCCTCTACCCTAAAACCCTTATACCTGATACTTCTCTTGCCTTCCTATTTAGTTAGTTACCTTTCTCATCTTGGTCTGTGCACTGTTCTCAGTGGTATATAAACCCCAGCTAGGTAGTCAGTAGTTCCTTAGTCTAAACCTCTTGTACCTTCTGTAGGAATCTACTTGATGTCCATCACTCACCTTCGTGTTTGACTCTTAAACCCTATCCTTTATTTGTTGTTGTTTGAGTCCTAGTCTAATCGCTTGAGACATTATTGTCAAAGAGTCATCACAGATGGTCTGCGCCCAGGCGAGTCATCTCTGAAGTCAGCGACTCTCACTTCTCTAGAAGGATTCCCCCTCAATGGATTATTCCATGCACGACGTCTCCACTGTTTTATCCCACAGGATGGTATGGCATTAGCTACACTTCAAACAGCATTGCAAGATGGAGATACCAACAAAGAGACCAATCCAAATAAAAGGTGGTCCACCATTCAAGAGGAACTAAAGGATGCATTGGATTCAGAGGATGAAGACAAAGAAGAAGACAAAGAAGACATGGGGGACAGCTAGACTTATGAGTACACCCTGAAGGAACACATTTTGAGA